ACACACACACACACACTCTCTCTCTCTCTCGCACACACCCCGCACTAACTGAAGAGAAAGTTCTAAAACAATTAAAATAGAACATGATATAATGTTAGTTACGTTATGGTGCGTGTCATAATTTAAAAAAAAGTCAATTCTTGTCCTCTGACCTAGATTCTATTTCTTATTCTAATTGCTCGTCCTGCGGAACAAGTGCGAGAGGGCGACCTAGAGACCCTTGTTTCTGTTGTGTGGACGGAAGGAAAAACTCGTCCTCGTACTTTTGACGGTTAAAAAAGATCTTCTGCAGCCTTCATTAGGAACTTACTTGACCTGCTATGCTTATCTCTTGGTGCCTCCTCATGGGTAGCAGCGACCACGCCTCTCGATGCTTTTATGCAGAAAGTTTTACGAATACATATAATATAGCTGCCGGTGCTGTTGTGCTCCTACTCCTCCCCCTCCAACTCACGAAATAACTGTTATTATGTCGAAGTGTTTCTATTTTACATCAAGCAAGCGATTGAATGGAGCTCAACCAGTAACTTATGCATGTCATAAATATTATAGCATAGCAAACTGTAACTTTTGGCCGTGTGGTTAAGTTAAATCTCGCACTGAACCTGCAACATCAATTCTGATCTCTGCAGCTGCTGTAGTAAGGTTATTACTACAACCTTCCCGAAGCGGGTAGTCAGTAAGCACTTTCGCTGACACAAGTTCACAGGTTTGAAAGGGCGATGCACCGTCGGGGTGACCCCTGGATGAAAGGTCATTCGCACTGTCTGTCTGTCTGTCTGTCTGTCTGTGTGTGTGTGTGTGTGTGTGTGCGTGTGTGTGTGTGTGTGTGCACGAGTGTGTATGCGAGAGTGTATTTGCGTGAGTGTTTGAGTGAGGTAGAGGTTAGTGTTGACCGAGAAAACAAGAAATATTCAAAGCGCGATCAGACGAGTTGGCTAAAACAAAAAAACCAAAACCAAAAAGAAAAGCTTCTCTTTACCAACCAGCCACGTAACCTTCCTCCGCTAACCAAAAGCTGATGTTTCAATGGGCGCTCACTCTGATCTTTGTAAGTCCTGAAATGATTCACCACTTTTGGCAACCTGTTACACTCACTCCCTTTTCCAACAAGGCGAGACGCCAAAGGAACCCAATAAAGCAACAGTCAATGTGGACACTGACAGCAGATAGACACGAGACATCCACACAACTCTTGTTTTAGTAAGTGGTTTACGGCACTTGCAACACAATAAGGTCATATAAGTGCCGAATATTAGAGGTGTTACAAGGGAGTAACAAACACAAAAAAAGGAAGGAGGGGAGATAAAGACGATAGATGTTTGATAGGAAAGCAGAAGCAAACCACACCAGAGCACCCGCCAACCAACCACGAGTCACAACTCTCCAGTGGGTGGTTGGCGGGTGTCACTGGTAGGTTCTACTTTTTTACGTTCCCGTCTGTTGTTTCTGTCTGTCTGTCTGTCTGTCTGTTGTTTCTGTCTGTCTGTCTGTCTGTCTGTCTGTCTGTCTGTCTGTCTGTTGTTTCTGTCG